CAAACCCTCCTATCCTTGAACAAAATAACTCGTCTACCAACAACCAGACTCCCGACCCTCGTTCCCGTATGGGGCAGAGGAGTCAATAGCTCAAACCAACCCATCAGAACCCCAGTTCGAAGACATCCTGCAAAGGATCAGGTAAACTTAATCAAAAATCTCAGGAGTTGCTACAAAGAATTAAGATTCCCATACACATTCGGTCAAAATTATAGGTGGTGGAAAATGGGAAGCAATTATGCAATAGCCATTATATTCAATGCCAAGATGACTGAAAGAAGTGTTAAAACAAAAGGGACAAACTAACAGAAGTTTGAGCAATTAGTTTAAAAATGTTGAGCTTTATTGCACGAGTACCTGCATGTTTTGAAAACGAGCCACATGATGACACAATCATTCATGCTGTAATATTCAACAGAAAATGATGTTTATAATGATGGAACACAAAAAGAAATTGTATTTTAATTTATGACCCTCTTTTGTGTTGCCAAAGGACTGTAAAATTGAAGTTAATTTAATATTAATTAATAAAATTAAAATTAAAAAAAAAGACAGTCATTGAAGGATTTCTGGTTTGTGTACATTATTTTGCATAGTTTTATGCAAACATTTTTCATTTTGCTCAGAACAAATAAACTAATGTTTGTATATATTGTACTGTTTTCCCCCTTAAATCATAAATCATGAAATGTTTTGAAAGCTTTTTTTGGGGCACCTTTTTGCCTGAAAATTAAGTCACTGGCAGTTGCTCACTTCTGACTATATTGAGTAATTCACTTCCCCTGATCACAGTAAAGTATATATATATCTACAATATTACTTTTTAAATAATTACATAATTCCGACAAAAATAATATACAATATAACTTAAAATGTTTGTTATTTAACATAAAATCCAGGATGCCCCCTCCCCACCAAAACAATCGGCCCGATCCGCCCCTGTAAAAGATAGGATTATTCAATATTAAAAACGTACAGGAATTGAAGGGACCAGGATCAGCCGAAATAACAGGAACCAGTAAATTCCATAGAACATAAGCTGTTTTACTGTAATTAAATGTAGGCAAGTCATATGTTAACATAAAACTTTATCTCTCACAGGTAATTTGGACAAGGGCACAGAAACACTAATACTCCAATTTTTGTTTTTATTAAAATCAATATCTTACAGTGTGATTTTTGTACCTTTCTTGTTCAAATTATGAAATAATTTTCTTACTATGTTAATAAATGGAAATTTCAAGTTGCGGAAGTAACAAACGTGAAGTTTTCCAGTAACATACTGGATCCTTACATATCACTACTACTACTGCTGATCTTAGCCTCAATCTTATCCAAATAAAAACAACTTTTAACTGCTTTTACAACATACGTATTTCTCGAACGTATACCAATTCCAACTTTACATGAAAATTTATTTTCATTGCACATAACATTCAGGCACATTTGCCGAAGACTTCACAATTGCATCAGACAATGATTAACAAGTTAAACAAAATGCCAAGAATCACCAGTTCTAAATTATAAAATAACTTCAATATCACAAAGTTTCAACTGGCAGCTTGACTGATATGAATGTTCTTCCACCTGTCACATGCCAAGAATAAGGAAGAGGGTCGTAGTTATTTTATCACAAGAAATAAGGTGTAGTTGTTCGAGGTGGTATAACTCTCTCCGAGTCAGGGACTGCATGGAAAAGTTTTGGTTCTTTGTTGTCTGTAGATGTAAATTCCAATATGGAAGCTATATTACCACAACGATAGCAATAGTTTGGAGCTGACCATACAGTTACAAGTTTGTCATCAAACATATATTTATAACCTGAAAAATACAAATAATATCGTAATAATGGTTAATAACAAATAAAATGTTCAGCCAACATGAATGATGACATACCTTCATGCACCAACTGATGTGCTCGACAAATAAGTTTAAGGCTGTTAAGCGTCATAAATTCATGAGTAACTTTAGCTCCAAATAACCAACCTGCACCTCTGGGGCTAAGAGACCAGGTATCAACTTCCTCAGGATCAGACCAAACCAAGTCACAAAAGGCACCTTTAAGAAAAGTCATGTACACATTTACAGTTATATCCTGTCTCACAAACTTTCAATAACACTTAATATCTTCCATCCTTACCTCTCTGAGGAATTTCCTGATTTCTATCGATACTGCGAATCTGATCTAATGTTCGAATGTCAGGTGAAAGACCTCCATGAACACACAAAACTTGCTCATCAATTAACTGAAACATAGTTCGAGTTTCAAATCAAATTCGAGTTTCCTTGATTCTGAGTTGGGGGTGACTAATGTTTTGAACAATTAGAATTATTTAACAAATTAGCAACAGAAAGTATATCACTGTGGGAAACATATTTCCAATGTAATTGCTAATTCAACAAAATGTCAGGATGGTGGCAAATGAGAAATGTAGGTACATTATTTTTATAACTAATAAGGTCGTACAACAAGACACCTAGAAAGATTAAAGAAACAATAATTTTCAGGAATTAGTGAAGATTTAATACAAACAACTTCATTCTGACTCAATAATTATATTATATAATATTAAACTAATATTAATTAAACATCAATCAAAACTTATACTGCTTAAATGATGAAACCAGTATAAAAATGAAATTTTCATTTATCAAACAGACTTACATTGCATCTCATAAAATTAGTGATAACACACTGTTCATATGGGGAATAACTTAATACTGTGAAATACTAACCGCTGCGACTGTTAATAGATCGAAAACTTGACAACAATACCGCCATGCATTTGCATTTCCATACTTATTTTGACATTCATCTGAAAGAAAAATAAAAGCACACTGCACTTTTAGAATCAAGATGGAAGTTTTAATAATATGCATGCTTTACTTTACAAGATAACTGTAACAGTACCATAAAATCCATATACTTGAGTTATTTGCCTAGATTCATGATTTCCTCTTAGTAATGTAATTCGATCAGACCATTTTGCTTTCAAAGTGAGTAGCCGGGTGAAAGTTTCCAGACTATAGTACCCTCTGTCAACAAAATCTCCCATAAATATATAATTCGTATCAGGCACAGGTCCACCATTCCGAAAGAGTTCTTCCAAGTCATAAAACTGAAAGAAAGCAATGTTTAGAAAAGAATAATATCCTTTAAACAAGCTCATAAATCACATACCAAAGACCTTTGAAAGAGGTTATGTTGAACACACCTGGCCATGAATATCGCCACAAACGGTCACAGGAGTTGCTACAGGTTGTATATTGGATTCTTCGAGGAGTATATCACATACCATATCACACAATTTCTGAGAAAAAGTAAATTACAATTTTTAATGTACTGAATGTCATCTTACACAATTCAATTCCTAGGCCAAGAAGGCGGAAGCAAAACACATATATCCTAACTCAAATAAACGTAACTTAAGTAGTACCTTCAAATCATTTTCCGGAAGATATTTACATTCTTTCGCTATATCTATCCACTTGTCAATATCCGACATTTTGAAAATTCTTCGGGTCGTCTCTCCACAGCACTGTAATCACTCTGACTTATCCGTATACAGCGCCTCTATTGATGACGTTGTGAACGATTTCTATAGCGGTTTCGAACACAGCGGGAAATGCAAATGAAATTCTGTCCACGTTACTGTCTAATTTGAATTAGTTTGCTTTCCATGTTCGAAATTTGACAATTAACTGCACGAAATACAAGCTATCTCTGAAATGTAATATAATTATTAGTATGTCAAGAATAAATTGATAATGTCGATGTTTGTTTGTAATTAGTATCACTTGCACAATGTAATTAATTGTGAGCTCTGACTCCTTTATGGCTACAGTAAATGCAAAGGTTTGCTTCGCTAAGTAATTGATGTTGCTGTGGACTGGTTACTATGTACCCATATGAAATGAAATGTTCAAAGCGTAAGTTACCGACGACCGGGAATCGAACGTACCCTTGTCTGCCGGTTTACGCCCAGTTGCTGCGGGCATCAAATACTCGTACACGGGCTGTGCATTAACCTAAGAACTATTTCGAAGATGTACCTCGATAGCTCGACAAAAAGTCTCGTTCGGGACAACTTCTGCTTGGAACAACTCACTTAATAACCTAAGTTACACAATTAATTCCCTAATAATTTCAAAGATCTTGAAAAATGTATTTCTCCCGATTCCCTCACAGAGACGAACACGTCAACGTAACTACATAATCAGAGAAGTTCTGTACTCATTGTCGTGGTTGTATTTCGACCGTTGTGTCAAATCAAAATTGATTAAAATCGCATGTGAAGGAATCTTTAAAGTTCGTTCTACTGACATACCGATCAATCAATGAGTTTGGATGCAGAAGGCACGGCGAATACGATAATGAATAAACTCAGGCGGAAAGAGAATCTATAGGACAAATATATTATGGGAAATTGAAATATATGGTCAATAATGAAAAATAGTAACAAATAAATTAAAGAATGAACTACAGCTGCAGAAGTAGATATTGACATCTAGCAATGCAGAATGCAGATTGGAGACACGATTAGTCCATTCATTTCAAGATAGTTTAAATATTCAAGAATAAATATATTCTTTCATAAAATCTTCACAATTGTTTTAGCGCACTTTGTATGTAGATTGAACTTATGTCTTTTTACTGAAGATTCAAGATTGTTCTCTCTGAACTGGTCGATGAGAATGGCAAGAACTTGGCGAGCGTACGAACAAGAGAGAGACAGACAATCTTATCGCTGGGGTGGTGGGACCATTGGACTTCGATCAGCAACAACCTGCAAAGGATGATGGGTAAATTTCCGCCATCTTTACTCCCTCGCAGTTTAGAGTTGAAGTTGGGTGAGGTTGTTTGAGGTTGGGGTGTAGTAGGAAGTTTTACCACGATGTCGGGGAATATGGGGATGGAGCAGCTCATCCCAATAGTAAATAAGCTGCAAGATGCGTTCACCCAGCTGGGAGTTCACATGCAATTGGATCTTCCTCAAATTGCTGTTGTAGGAGGTCAAAGCGCAGGAAAGAGTTCCGTTTTGGAAAATTTCGTGGGAAGGTAAGTTTTATTGTTCAAATATATATGTAAATTACTAATACGAATATACTATTTGTCTTTGAAATGAAGATGGGGCGTTTTATCGATGTAATTGTTTCACCAGCAGATTTTGACAATGGCCGTTGACAGGTGTTTCCGGAGTTCTTTGCCCTGATGGTTATTTTTTGTATTTTAAGGATAATTTGTTTGTATAGAAGTTACATGAAATATCTCCAAATTGCAACATCTTATTTTGCATTTTTCAATTTTAGGGACTTCTTGCCTCGAGGTTCAGGAATAGTTACCAGAAGACCTCTTATTTTGCAGCTAATCAACTCTCCAACAGGTATAAATATTCTAGCTTTCTCTGTTTCTTAGTTATTTTATTTTATTTATTTATTCCAATTTCTAAGTCTCTTAATGTGTGTTGTTTTCTGTACTTTACTTTCAGTTTGTAGAGAAATCTCATTGACAAATTAATTTTTGTTAAGTAATTGGTTGATTTAATTTCAGTAATTTTATCATAATATTGGTTTAATTTAGGTTCAGTTATGACTTTTGCATCAATAACTTTTTTTTTCCTCCTAGATATTGGAAATTATAATTTTGGTGAAAAAGTTGAATGGTGTACTGTAAATTTATTCAAGAATAAAAACAATAAAAATTAACTATTGTTTGAAAAACATATATTTGACTTCTCCTCCTGTTTTCCCAGATTTTGAAACATTACTCATTCATTTATTACCCATTATATCATTATCCATTTCTTTCTGTTATTCATGGGGTTTATTTTCTTTGTTTAGAGGACAGGGTTCCAAGTGTCTTGCGCAAAAGTATGACTGTGCTTTCTTTTTTTTTTATTTGCTTTTTTCCCTTTGTTTAGGCTCTTTCTCAATGTTCCTAGTGTCTTGCACAAAAGTGTCTATGTTTTTGTCTCTTTTGATTTACTTTCGTCTCTGAAATTATAGTAACAAAGTTTAAATTTATATTAATTCTGTAATATGTTATTCTCCTTGTTATTCTAGTTTGTAATTCAGTAATTGTGGATATTAAATTACTTTTATTATACATACAGAAGTTTGGTAAATTTGATAAATTCTTAGGGGTCAGACGGGAAATTAGATAAATTTACGAACATTCTATACTTGCTTTGAATTTTTGGTTTCCCTGCTAACTGGAAGAAAACTTGAACTTTATATCCATTAGTAGTAAAAGTTTTGACAATGACATATTTCCAAAGAAAGTTGAATTTCTAGCAACAAACAAATTTATTTTTATTTCCATGTTTTCTTATGTATTGTGAATTATAGTTTTCCATTTTGATCTGTCAGTCTTAGAACTGTACAGTTGAAATAAAAATTTCATTGTTTTCCTAAAATATTATTGATTTTCTAAGATTTCCGGGGGAGGGGGGGGGGTACCATCTCTTAAGCTTTGATTTAACGTTTTTATATTTAATCAATTAAGTATTCTTTGTCAACCAACTGTGTCTAGTCTCGACCCTGTCTCTAGATATTTTATTCAATTTTTGTATTAAAACATTTTGTAAAATTTCCCTTGTTTTTGTTTTGTATTTTTGCAGAACATGCTGAATTTTTACATTGTAAGGGAAAGAAATTTGTGGACTTTGATGAAGTTAGAAGAGAAATTGAAGCAGAGACAGATCGGGTGACAGGTAGCAACAAAGGCATTTCAAATATACCCATTAATTTGAGAGTATATTCACCACATGGTAAGAAACTATCAATATAATTATTTTTTATTTCAATCAAATTTTTATACTTTAATATCAATGTGATACTATAAATAAACAAGTAACTCACAAGAAAATTGAATTGATATCAAGAAAGTCATGTGCTTATTACAGTGAAAAGTAATATTTTTTCATAATTTTAACCAATGATTGCATTGTACTTTTCGTAAGCAGTCCCCAATCAGAATTTAAAAAAAATATTAATTAGCAGTTTAAAGAAGTGAAGTGAGAGCAAAGAATTGTGTGGTATGTCATCCTGTCATTTTTGTTTAGAATTGTGAAATAGCTTAGAATGCCTTCTGAGTTGTCGAAATTTTACTTTCCTAAAGTACTTCAGCAGTTTTTTCACCCTTGACAAATCAGTTTTGAAATTAATAGTCCCTTTATGCAATCATGCTATTCAGTAGTTGTTAGATAAGTCAATACAGTAAATTTGAATACTAAATCAAACAATAAAATAAATGACCAGACATACATTTTGCGAGCTAAAGGGTGAATGGAAATGCATTGATTTCTTGATATAATTCAATTTATTACATTCTGTCAGGTTTTGACAACTATAAATTTAAATATATTTTTATATTGAGAAAATAGTTAGGGTTGATTTACTTTAAAGGGGGAAAGAAAATGATAGGGGCAGTTACATGTACAGTATGATCTATATGTTAATAATAAAAATAGTAATAATAATAATAATAAAATATATTAATAAAATTAATATAAAAATAATAAAAGATCTAATTAGAACTAAATTGTTAATGTTTATATGTGGATGAAATTTCATGCTTTATAAGGATAGTTGTGTACCCATTATTTTCAGTGGTGTGAAAGTTACAGTATATTTATCTCGTATGTTCTTGGCTATTCAGATGTCCTATTTGTAGGTGGTTGGTCAACATTTTGACAGTCTTCTGCTGAACACCTGCTGTTAATGTTGCAGCATTATCTGGACAACAAAGAATCCAAACGTGGCTCTTGGTGCCCATGTCTTAATATTCAATCTTGCCTACTTGAGATTTTAATAGAGTAATGTGAGGCATTTAACAAAGTTGACAATATATTTATATCTAGAACTAAAGAGGGTGTTCTGCAAACACTAATTTTGGTGTATTCATTGTTGAGATGAAAATTTGTGACTAACTGCTGCAAACTTGCATACTGAATAGTGTGAATTATCACGTTTTGAACCTGTCAGTTAGCTCCTTGCAATAAAATTAATGATTGTAAAATGTCTGTCTATTAATGAACAGTAAATGTCTGTCTGTTTGTCTGTTGGTGGTCAACGCTAGCACTAATCCATTCAGCTGATTGTCGCCAAAATTGATATTCCTTCATTGCTCTGAGCCAAATCGAAACTGTGAGAATTTTAAACGGATATTTTGATTTTTGAGGGTACCTTGCATGATTCCTCAAAAACCTGTTCAAAATTTTCTCTAAATGGCACCTACTTTTTTGTTCAGACTTTCTCTTTGGATAGAGTAAAGGTTGCTTTAGGCAATGGTGAATGTCTCGTGTTTGTTGAAGTCCTAAATTTTTTGAAAATTGTGAGCGCAATTTTTGGCATCTTGCCACAATTATCGTATTAAAGATAGATTTTTTTCCCTGTTTCTTAAAGACAGATCTTCATGTAAGTCCATGTTAATTTTTTTCAAAAATGAATATTTTTCTAGTAATTGTGTGCAAAATATTGGCATTTAAACAAATTGTTAAACAATTTTTTTCTTGAAAAACAATCCAAATGTTTTCTTGAAATCATCTTCCGGTATGTAATAAGGGACTTTAAAAAATATGATACTTCTCCAATTTTCGGTGAGTCTAGTCGGCGTTAGTCTAATTTTTGTTGAACACTCTGAATTATCCAAAATTGCAAATTTAGAAATAATGCACGAAAAAATGTGCTTTTGGAGCACCACTTTTTTCTTCTTTTATTGAAACAAAAAAATTTAAGAATTTAAAAATGCAAAAATTTAAAAAAAAAAAATTAAAAAATGTATATAAATATTCTAAGGGTGTGAAAAGTTTCACTCATGCCTGTGATGTGGAACTCCTTTCCATGATTTCTTAATTTTAACTTTCAACTCGGAGCCTTGGTTGGGCCTGGTGTCATTCCACTGCAAGTGTATAGTGGCTGTGTACTTCGGTGCAGTAGCAGGCAAACAGCATAATGCACCACTATGGCGATTCTCTCATGGCATCCTGCTGCACAGAGGATAAAGGCGTGTTGCCTATGCATCTCCCCTGAATAGAGGTCGAAAGAAAGTGCCATTGCATGATGTCAACCTGCATTGTAGGAAAAAATGATTTAATCAAAGGAAAATTACACATCGAGGCAAATTTGACATGTTCTCAGGAAAAATGGGCCATTTAATTTTTGCAACTGGCAGTGACAGGCAGGGGTGATTGTGCACAGTACATTTTTTGAAATTTTCTCATTTTTTTCTGTTTCTTGATAGTTAAACTGAAATATTACATTTAAAATATTAAAAGAACAGTAAAACTACGTTCAAAATGGCGTGGCGAGAATTCGAATGGCGCGGTTCGCTGTGCAAAACCGCCGTAGAGCTGAAATTCTCCGTACGCAGAGATGAATAGGAGAGCTTATCGCCGTGCAAAGGGATAAGAACAGCTGCAATCGGTTGAGTCAGCGCGGGCGGCGAGCCCTCAAGTCGATGGACTAATAAGCGATGTCTTTGCTACCCTCTCGTTTCCACCAATTCTTGGCTGTTTCGTTAGTAACAATCTTTAAATACTAAAATTTAGCTATTGTTTAATTATCCAATTGTGTAAAGTATTTAAAATGCAGTGTTGTTTATTAGTTTGCTTGTGCACCGCCGCATCTGCCGATGACCGGTCATTCATTTTAAACCCAACCTGTATAAATTTGAGTACCTTCGCTGTTTAAAAAGCTCCGTTTGCGACTCATAGATGATATGTGGAAAAAACATTTTATTTTGGGAAATAACAAGAGGTGCTGCATATCAACTAGCCACATTGGATTAGGCAATGCATAACTCTTTCAATATCTGTTAAGTAAGCTGATATGTCTGGAGTACCTGCTTGGAAGTATGTCACTTGGCTGACAGGCGAGGAAAAGAGATAAGAGAAAAGAAAGATAAAGCTTTTTTTTTCTAAGAAGGCTATGGACGGTACTATTGAAAACGGTGTTTCGGAAGTTGAAGTTACATTTAAGTTCAGAAGCGTTCTGTTCGCGAATGGTACCAACAATGAAAGCAGGAAATAATTATTCGCAAGGCGAGTGTATGCTAGTAAACGCGAGTGTATGCTACTTTCCTTGGCTCCCGCAGACCGGCGAGAAATATTCGCAGCGTAGCGAAATGTTTGCAGCCAAAACGAGACGTTCGGACGCGCATTGTTTCTTTCGCTTTGCGGACGGGTACAGTTTTTTTTTCGCTGCCTCCCGAGATTCGCTATGAAGTGTGAACCCTTGTCAGACGTCGAATATTTCAGCTCGCCAGTGCATCTTGTCTGAACATTCAGAAAAATACTTCAGTGTTCAGCCATTTAATCCAAATGTAATTTACTGTAAATAGCGTTTCTTTTTATAAATTCGGATTTTTTAAATTTTCTACTTTAGAAATGAATAGTACCAATAGACTATTATATATCGTATAATTATTGGAATAATTTCCATTAATGTATGTAATACGTTATTTTCTTACAATGGTGCAATAAGTAGTTTTGAAGGTGAGATAACGTAACCATTATTATATGTCGGATTTCAAATTACTAAAGTAAGAATGTGAAGTGAAACAATGAACACTGAAGTAAATATAAAAGCGTTTCTCTCTCTTTAGAAGTTCTGGCACCAGGGTATAAAATTCTCCGTATTTCTTACTTTCCCGTATACATACATATATACGGAGAAATATACGTAGTATAGGGAAAATTAATGTAATGCGCCGGAAAATCAATTTCGAGATTTCAACGGAAATGCACGTTTTGGGTACTCTGATACAGAAAAAGGTTTTCTGTTTTCTTTCTTTCTCCAAAACGCCCCTCCGTCAGGTATATGTGAACAACACTAGCGCCTAAACCTTGCGAAGAATTTTTTCAAATTGAAGAAATCCCTGTCCATTTGGCCCGAGTCGAAGCTCTGCGACTTTGAAAATCATTAATTTTTGGGGGTGCTTTACAAGAACCCCTGGAACATTTTCAATATTTTCTCAAAACTGGTTCCAAAATATTTCTTTTAAATTTTTTATAAGAATAAAGTAAAATGCACTTACAAATTTGACATCGGTCCGATTTTCACTGTTAACTCTGAATTTTTGAAGATTTGAAAAGTTTGAATTTTTCTTCCTACAACTACAAAATTAACGATAGAGATTTTTCATTCAAATAAAATTTGTTGTCCATAATTTGTTCTTTCATGAAGGTCATTTTTGAAAATGTTTGTAGTTTTCGTACTATATTACGTGCTAATTGTGCATTTTTAAAAAATTACAGAAACTAGTTTTTTCTCAAAAACGACTTCCAATTCTTTCTTTATACTTTTGGCAGGGATTATGCTAAATGCACTCTATAAAGTGACATAAACGTCATATTTTCTTTATTTTTCCGAAAATTACAAAAATGTGATTTTTTTGAATTGCTTCTCCGGTCGTTAATATTTATATTAGCGACTATTTGTTCACATTACATTTATAAGTACATATGCTTTAAATATCGTATAAAGCTTCTCGAAAACAACCGTTTTCGTACAAAACTAGCTCAAAATTTCGCAATTTCAGAAACACTCAATCGTCAGTTTTTCAAAAACGGCTCCAATTTTTTTCAAACATTTGGAAAGGATAGTGCTAATTACACTTTTTAATATGCCGTAAAGTTCATTAAGGTGTATTGTTTTGGATTTATTCAAAAATTACACAAATGTACATTTTTTGAAATATCTCTCACGCCGGTAATATGCACATTCCCAGCAATTTGTAAAGACTATTTTATTCGAGTACAATTACTTA